TTACAGGTGTGAGCCACCGTGCCTGGCCCCAGTGTCTATTTTTTAGGCTTCTCATTAGAATCACTTCAATGCCCAGGCCCTTTCCAGACCAGTTCAATAAGAGTCTCTGAGAGTGAAGACTCAAGCATTTGTTTTTCTTCTTTTTTTAAGTTCCCCATGTGATTCCAATGTATGGTAAGCTCATTGAGGATCATAGGTCTAATTAAAATTATTTCTATATGCCAATAAAATTATGTTTATTCTATACTAAGTGTCTATGTTCTGTACCTAGCAATGTTCTCTTTATGTCTTCATTTGGAAAAACATGATTAACAGGTAAATTTAGATGAAATTATATGTATTGATAAGTGAAGATTGGGAAGACCTATTACAATATTAACATATATAGAATTAATGGTTATGGTATACTCATTGAAAAATTATAAATTTCCCTTCTGAACTGGTTAAACAGAAATCATTGTTCATCAAGAGTCATTTAGTGAATGATTTGAGTTTTAGCCATTACCTGGATAAAATAGTAAGAGAATATTATACCAGAGAATGTATTCATGGGGTATATGCATTGCATTCTTTTAGTCAGGAAAAAGTTGGTTTTTCTTTTCTTTTTTTTTTTTTTTTTTTTTTTTGTTTTTTGGTCAGGACTGGGTTTGAACCCACCACCTCCAGCATATGGGGCCAGCGCCCTACTCCTTTGAGCCACAGGCGCTGCCCAGTCGGTTTTTCTTTTTTAGAGTTATTTATTATCATTGAAATATTGGATAAGTGATGTGAGAGTTTGTGTTGATGGGAAATGAGATTTTGAAGTTAGGTTCTAGTAGCTTTCAGAATTTTCGGGCTGACATAGGAAATGATGTGTTAATTTGAACATTGATTGGATAACCCAGAAAGAAACATACCCAACCCCCCAGTCTGGTCCTTTGTCTAGAGTATAGTCAGTCCTTGATGTCAGTCTTTGGTTACATGTTAGACTGGGGTTGACAAACTATGACCTGCAGGCCAAATCTGGCTCCTTTCTAGAAATGGTTTTATTGGGGCATGGCCATGTTCATTAATTTACTTATTGCCTATGACTGCTTTTAGGCTCCCAGTTAAATAGTTTTGACATAGATTATATGGCCTGCAAAATCTTTAAAATATTTACTATATCTGACCCTTTACAGAAAGTTTGTCAGCTCCTATGTTAGTTTGTTGTTGTATTACACATTAGACTATTGTAACACACATTTCTTCCTTATATTCCTAAGTAGAGCCTCTTAGGCTGAATTTGCCTTTCCTACACAGGTGATTGGAGATGATTCTCCTTTTTAAGGCTTTGGTAATAAGGGTAGCATGCTGCTACTCCTCTGCTGCTCTTACTTTAGGGAACTAGAATTTTGCTCGCTTCTCTGGAGTGGATATTTCCTTGCCTAGCTTTTCCTTCAAGTTCTCCATCACTGTCATTGGCTGTTGCTCCCCCTCTGGAGGGTGGACACACAGAAACAGGGTAACTGGAACAGGTGGCTTTGGTCTTCCCACAGCAGTGGAAGGGGAGAAAGACCATTTTGATATGCATCTTTTGCTAATGACTGATCTGGATATGGAAGTTAAAGATTAGGAGTGCTTCAACCTTTGATCGTGGTTCAAGTAGAGAGTTCTAAAAGGTGTGGAAGTCTAATGGAGAAAGGATACCTGGCTCGATTACCCTTGTCTGTACAACGGACATAAGGCTGGCTGCCTCTGAGCTGTCAGTCACTTCTATTCTGGGGCACCTATGTGCTAGGACCTACTTGCTGGGTTACTTACACTTGTCAAAGCAATACCTACAGGTACATTAGAGATTTAAAAATATAAACATTTTTAGCTTTTGAAGAATACAACTCCCCTTTCTAACATATAAAGCTGTTAATCAAGTTTGTATATTCCTTCCATACAGAAGCAAGGAAGTACCTCTAAATTAATGATGTTCTGGCCACCTGATCATCAGAGTTGCAATTTTAGAGTGGAAGTTAGGGTCTTGAGAAAAATGTTGCAGTTCTTTTTTCATTGGTGGGGTGGGTTAGGATGCTATTATAAACTTTAATTAATAAATGTCAAATTGTTTTTGTAACTCCCAAAGATTATAGTTTTTTTGTAAAATAGTTAAGATGGTTTCTGATCAAAACTCTTTATTTAATTATTTAATTTATTCTGTTTGTAATTTAGGCCAAGATCTATGCCTGAATGACTGGGTATAACTGTACCCCACCATGTACTGAATATGTCTTTGTAAAAGAGGAGTTATTCTGGTTGTTGATTTTTCTTTTCTTAAGATACTGTAAAGAATATGGGACCTGTGTTTGGGTTCGATTTTTTTCAGATTGTGACAGCTTCAAGGGCTTCAAGTGTTTAAAGACCCTGACATTTTTGCTTTCCTAGTGTGATAAGGCAGTGAAGGTAATGGAAGCAGGCTACATTAGAATAAAAAGGTTGATAAAGATTCCGTTGATGATTAATTCTCTGTCATATTAATTTTTTTTAAAAAGCACTTTAAATGTTTAGTTAGCTTTGTTTATGATGTGATTTTCTTTTTTTCATTTTTAAAGATAGCTTTATTAATGGCTTTTTTATGTATACATTAATGCATTTATGGGGTCAATGTGCTGATTTCATATAGAACTAGTAATGTTTATATCACACTGGTTAATATATACCTCATCTTATTTACTTAGTTATTGTGTTAAGACGTTTATACCCTATACTTAATAGATCCGACATGTACCCTTGCAATATGCACCATAGGTGTGATCCCACCATTCACCCTCCCTCGATCTGACCTCTCCTCTCCCCTGCCATCCCCTCCTTCCCTCCTTCAGCCTGGGCCTTAGTTGTAAACTATTCTTCATATGAAAGTGTGAGTGATTGTAAATCAGTTTCATAATAGTACTGAGTACACTGGATATTTTTTCTTCCATTCTTGAGATACTTTACTAAGTAGGATATGTTCCAGCTTCATCCATGTAAATGTAAAAGAGGTAAAGTCTCCATCTTTTTAAGGCTGCATAATATTCCATGGTGTACATATACCACAATTTATTAATCTATTCATGGGTTGATGGGCACTTGGGCTTCTTCCATGACTTGGCTATTATGAATTGAGCTGCAATGAACAATCTGGTGCAAATATCTTTGTTATAAAGTGATTTTTGGTCTTTTGGATATACACCTAGTGGAGGAATTGCAGAATCAAACAGCAGGTCTACTTTTAGATCCCTGAGTATTCTCCAGACTTCTTTCCAAAATGGACGTATTATCTTGCACTCCCACCAGCAGTGCAGAAGTATTCCCTTGCCTCCACATCCAAGCCAACATCTGTAGTTTTGGGATTTTGTTATGTGAGCCACTCTTACTGAAGTTAGATGATATCTCAAAGTGGTTTTGATTTGCATTTCTCTGCTGGTTAAAGATGATGAGCATTTTTTCATGTGTCTGTAGGCCATGCGCCTATCTTCTTCAGAGACACTTTTGTTAAAGTCCCTTGCCCACAATGAAATGGGATTACTTGTTCTTTTCTTATTATTAAGTGTGAGTTCTCTGTGGATAAATTCTCTGTGGATTCTGGCTATCAAACCTTTGTCAGAAGCATAAGCTGCAAATATCCTCTCCCATTCTGAGGGCTGTCTGCTTGCTTTACTTACTGTGTTCTTGGCTGTGCAGAAGCTTTTTAGTTTGATCAGATCCCAGTAAGGTATTTTTGGTGTTGCTTCAATTGCCTGGGGGATCCTTCTCATAAAGCATTCTTCCAAGTCAATTTCTTCAAGTGTTTCTCCTGCACTCTCTCCAAGAATCTTTATAGTTTCATATCTTAAGTTTAAATCTTTTATCCAGTGAGAGTCAATTTTTGTTAATATGAAAGGTGTAGGGTCGGTTTCAATCTTCTGCAAGTCATCAGCCAGTTCTCCCATCACTATTAGTTAAATAGGGAATCTTTCCCCCAATTTATATTTTTGATGGGCTTATCAAAGATCAAATGGTGATAAATGTCTGGGTTCATCTCTTGGTTCTCTGTTCTGTTCCAGTACCATGCTATTTTCATCACTATAGATTTATAGTATAGTTTGAAGTCTGGTATCATGATTCCTCCTGAGAGGAGTAATGTTCTGAGTAATGTTTTGGCTATTTGAGGCTTTTTCTGGTTCCATATCAAACAAAGTACTATTTTTTCCAGATCTTTAAAATATGACGTTGGTGCTTTGATAGGGATTGCATTAAGTTTGTAAATTCTTTGGGTAATATGGACATTTTAACAATGTTGATTCTTCCCAGCCATGAGCATGGTATGTTTTTCCATTTGTTAACATCTGCAGCTATTTCTTTTCTCAGAGTTTCATAATTCTCTATAAAGATCTTTCACATCCTTTGTTAGGTAAATTCCCAAATATTTCATCTTCTTTGCACAATGGTAAAGGCAATAGAATCTTTGACTATTTTTTCGGCTTTACTGTTACTGGTATTTATAAAAGCTACTGATTTGTGAGTATTGATTTTGTATTCTGAGACACTACTGTATTCCTTGATCACTTCTAAGAGTTTTGTAGTTGAATTCCTGGGGTTTTCTAGGTATAAAATCATATCATCTGGGAAGAGTGAAAGTTTGATCTCCTCTGACCCTATTTGTATACACTTGATCGCCTTCTCTTGCCTGATTATGATGGCTAGGACTTCCATTACAATGCTAAAAAACAGTGGAGACAATGGGCAACCTTGCCTGATTCCTGATCTGAGTGGAAATGTTTTCAGTTTACTCCATTCGATATGATTTTGGCTGTCGGTTTGCTGTAGATGGCCTCTATTAGTTTAAGAAAAGTCCCTCTATACCTATTTTCTTAAGTGTTCTGATCATGAAAGGATGTTGGATATTGTCAAAATCTTTTTCTGCATCTATTGAGAGAATCATATGGTCTTTGTTTTTTAGTTTGTTTATGTGATGTGATTTTCTAAGTGTACTCCCTTCCTCTAACTCTGATCTGTTCTTTATCTAATAGATCAGCGACTATCATCTGTTCCACAAGATGAGTAACAGCCACCCTCTTCGCCCCTTTGCTGCAGTGGGGGAAATTGATCATGTGCACATTTTGTCTGAACATATTGGTGCCTTGTTGATTGGGGAAGAATATGGTGATGTCACATTTGTGGTGGAAAAGAAACGTTTTCCTGCCCACAGGGTCATTTTAGCAGCCAGGTGCCACTATTTTCGGTAAGTGTATACATTTTCTGAAGATTCAAGCCACTTTTTAAAAAACACTGATATTTTCTGCTCTCTGATAAATACGTAACCGAGCATAACAACAAATTCTACAAGTCTCTCAATTCAATATCTATAAGGATTTTGTCTTTGTAGACTTCGTTATTTTTTGAGAATTATCTTTTCCTTTAGGAGCCATCTTAAAATTAAGGGGTTAGAAGGCTTCTTAGGCCAGATAGTACCCATTTTTTAAAGTCTCTAGAATATTTCTCAGGCTGAGTCTGTGTTACCCTCACTTTCTGACAGTGGATGATTAATGGGATTTAAACTGATTTATTGGCAGATAGACTTCATGTTGTATAGGTAGACTGACCTCTGGACTTGTTAATGGACATGTATACCTCTTGATTTAAGACTACTGAGGTCTAGAACTTTTCAGTATTGTAACACATTTCTCTAACATACTTAGTCTGACAATCCCGAATTAAAAGAAACTTAAGTATTGATTGAGACTGAGTTTCATAGTTATATTAAAACTAAGACTAAACTAAATATTTATATATTTAATTAATGTAAAAAACCCACTTATATATAGTTATTTTTTGTTACTTGGAGCCTCAATTTCCAGGGTTATAAATTTTAAACTGATCTCTAATTACTCTACATTTTACTCAGTTTTAGTTAAAAGGGACTCATCACTGAATATTTAGTAGACTGATAATTTATCTTTGATAGTGGACCTTTTTATGTTTTCAAAGATAATGATGGTTTATAGAGTTATAGATATGCCTGGGAAACTCAGTATGTAAAATGGAGATGCCGATACATTAGAGAAAATTTCTGTTACTTTCCTGTGAAAACTGCTGTCTAATTTTTTATAGTCACAATTAATCAGAACAACCAAGCAGCCATACCTAGAGTTACACATGTTGTAGTAAAGTGTATCTCTTGGAAATATTTACTATTTAGCTAGAATTCCTATAGTTTCTTCTCTTTTCTTTCTCTCTCTCTCTTTTTTTTTTTTTGAGACAAAGTCTGACTTTGTTGCCCCTTGGTAGAGTGCATGGCATCACAGCTCACAGCTCACAGCAGCCTCAAACTCTTGGGCTTAAGTGATTTTCTTGCCTCGGCCTCCTAAGTAGCTGGGACTACAGGCACCTGCTACAACGCCTGGCAATTTTTTTTGTTGCAGCTGTCATTGCTGTTTAGCTGGCCCAGGTTTGAACCTGCCAACCTGGGTATATGTGCCCGGCACCCTACGCATTGAGCTATAGGCATTGCCCTAGAACTCCTATAGTTTCTTAGGAACAGTTTTAGAACTTCCCATCTTTTACATGTAAAATACCACTGTAGATGAAACCAAGAACTTAGAAAAGAGTTCTGTTTAGAGTTCTAGCCAAAGTTCTCCCATTCTTACTAGTAGTCAGCTCTACCAAAGACATCTGGCTTTGGTCTAATCATTATTTGTTACCAGCCTCTGTCCTCTGCATACTTTTCATTTTGTATTTCTTTTCCTTTTTTAATTTTTGGTCCAATCATTGCTACTAAAGTGTTTTTTAAGAGTCTCTTTTTCATTAAGTCAGAACTTTTCAGCCTTATGTTTAATACTTGTTAAGAATATATACCTTTCCCTCTTTCAAAAATAATTTGAAACAACTGTATGTGGGTATCGGTATACTCTTAAAAGAAACTCAGATACTTTTAGAAATTTGAAGATCAGCTGGGCGTGGGGGCTCATGCTATAATCCTAGCACTAGGGAGGCTAAGACAGGTAGATTGCCTGAGCTCACAAGTTCAAGACCAGCCTGAACCAAAGCATGACCTTGTCTTTAAAAAAAATAGCTGGGTGTTGTGGCGGGTGCCTGTAGTCCAGCTACTGGGTAGGCTGAGGCTAGAGAATTGCTTGAGCCCAGGAGTTTGAGATTGCTGTGAGCTATGTTGCCACAATACTCTACTGAGGGCAACAAAGTGAGACTCTGTCTCAAAAAAAAAACACAAAAAAATTTGAAGATCACCTTGAGTGAATGGAATATACTCCTTTCACTTAATTGACCTTGTTCTTGATATCATTGTGGCTATTGAATGTTTATAACATTTGATGTCTCACAAGGGTAAGTTCAGAGTCATTACAAATGCTATCTTAGACAGATTCTCATTGCCAACACTATTCAGGTGGAAAGGAAAGTTAACTGTCAGCAGGAGAGGTCTAAGTGCTGTCATAAGAGCCTATTGATTCCCTAGTAAGGACAAGCTAACTGTGCTGGAGGGTATTTTTCACAATAAACATTGAACTTCTGTGCTTTTCTTCTTGTTGAAGTTGGGGGTTCATATTTCGTATTCTAAGGGAGCCTCATCAAAACCACTTTTAAAGCACTGAGAAGTCAATTAAAGACCATGGGTCACATTGGAGTAGGAGTAAGTCTTGTTGAGGTCTCCCCAGCAAGGAGTTCTTTAATTTGATAATTTTAAGGTATGGTTGGATGCTCTCTGGACTATTGAAAATCTTCATGGGTGTTTTAGGCAGACTATAACTCAGTGATGAGGCATGCTGAGAATATTCATGAATCTTTTGCTGGATTGTTTCAACTATTTTCCTCAGGCAAGCAAGAATGCCAGGTTCTGATAGGGGTGGGAGAAGTTCTAGGTAGATATGGAGGTCACCCCTGAAATGTTCATCCTTCTCTGAAAATCTGAGGGACAGAGAGAACGTCTTTCTTACTCCCATTTCTTGGTCTCTACCCTTCTTTCCCTTTTCTGCATCCCTTCCTTGTCCTCTTATTGCTGTCCTTTCTTTCCTCACAGGTTAGAGGTGCATATTATTCCTCCTAGACTAATAGAGTTAAAAATTCAAATTCATTACATGATTAGATTGTCTAGTTTTCATTTTTTAGATGAACAGATAAGCAATAATGTATGTTTTTTTAATCCAAAAGACAAAAAGAATTAAATCATCTATAATCCCATCAGTAGTTTCATTTTTAATTTATAAGGTGATAAATGAAAGTCCTTCCCTCTCAGTCATCTGATACTATTCCATAGAGACAACTACTATTAACAGTCTAATATTTATTTTCTCTGATTTTTCTTTATTTAAACACATATGTATATATGCATACTTGCATTCACATATAAGTTTGTTGTTATACACTTTTTTCCATGCAGTACATATGTGTGGATCTGCAATTTGACTTACTTGCCTATTGTATACTAAACATTTTCCCAAGATAGTGCATTTTGACCCCCTACCCACTTGATCTTTCTAATGGCTGTCTAGAATGTGTTATATATTACAGTTTTTCAATCATGTTCCTATTATGTCCATTAAGATTTATTTCCAGGCCGGGAGCAGTGGTTCACAGCTGTAATCCTAACACTCTGGGAAGCCAAGGCAGATGGATTGCCCTGAGCTCACAGGTTTAAGACCAGCCTGAGCAAGAGCAAGACCCCATCTCTAAAAATAGCCCAGCATTGCGACAGGTGCCTATAGTCCCAGCTACTCGGGAGGCTGAGGCAAGAGAATCTCGAGTCCGAGAGTTGGAGGTTGCTGTGAGCTATGATGCCACGGCATTCTACCAAGGGTGGCAAAATGAGACTCTGTCTCAAGAAAAAAAAAGATTTTTTTCCCAGTGTTTTAATGTATATCATACATTTATATTTACTGTATTATTTCTCTAAAATTGATTCCTAAAAAATACTGAATTGAAGGGTATGCACACTTTAGATTTGAATAGAGATTACTTGATTATTTTTCAAAAAGAAGTGCTTATTTATGTATACACTGAAAGCTGCACATGAAAGAACTTGTTTCCCCCATTGCTTTTGTAGCTTTTGATATTAACAAGCTTTTTAATTTCTGCGAGTCCGACGGGAGAATGGCATCAAATTGGTGTTGAGTTTTATCTGACTTTATCTTTTCCTATAGAGTTTTATTTTTTAAATGCCTTATTGACCTTTGACATCTTATACTGATTTCACTGTAGCTCTTGAAAGATCACTTCATCTTTCTATTTGGCATTTCCCCCCCCTTTTTCTTTTCTTTTATTAACTTTTTATAGAGATAGGGTCTCGCTGTGTTTCCCTGGTTTGACTCAAAATCCTGGGCTCAAGCAAACCTCCCAAGTAGCTGGAATTATAGGCACACATCACTGTATACATTATCCTTTTTTTTTTCTTTGCAGTTTTTGGCCAAGGCCGGGTTTGAACCCACCACCTCTAGTATATGGGGCTGGCACCTTACTCCTTTGAGCCACAGGCGCCACCCCCATCCATTATCTTTCTATTTAATGTCTATTGTGTATCTTGAGCTCTCAGAATATCTCATTAGTTTATAGGATTAATTCACAATAGTTTTAAAAGCATTCCTCTTGCTTTCTTTGGCAAATTATTTAAAATAATTATTTTGGTGCAGTGGCTTACACCTGTAATCCTAGCACTTTAGGAGGTCAAGGTGAGAGAGAGGATCACTTGAGGCCAGGAGTTTGAGACTCTAAGCAACGTAGTGAGATCCCCCCAGCCTCTACAAAAAATAAAAAAGTTAGTCAGGCATGGTACCTGTGCTTGTGTTCCCAGCTATTCAGGGGGCTGAGGCAGGAGAATCACTTGAGCCCAGGTGTTGGAGATTTCAGTGAGCTGTGTTTATGTCACTCACTGCACTCTATGTTGGGCAACAGAGCAAGACGGTCTCAAAAAATAAAACATAACAAAAAATGATTACTTCGCATTTCTTCACCTGGATCTTTGGGCCATTAGAGACATTTATGTTTATATAATGTTGATAACTGTTACTTCTTATGTTTGCACAAAGCCTATTTGAGGTTTTCCTAATGTTTCTTCTCTGATGTACAGAGCACTACTGTATGGTGGAATGCGAGAGTCTCAACCTGAAGCAGAAATCCCTCTCCAAGACACCACGGCGGAAGCATTCACAATGCTACTCAAATACATCTACACTGGGCGGGCAACGCTGACAGATGAGAAGGAGGAGGTGCTGCTGGACTTTTTGAGCTTAGCTCATAAATATGGATTTCCAGAGCTGGAGGATTCTACCTCTGAGTATCTCTGTACCATACTTAACATTCAGAATGTCTGTATGACTTTTGATGTTGCCAGTCTCTACTCGCTTCCCAAGTTAACTTGTATGTGCTGCATGTTTATGGACAGGAATGCTCAGGAGGTGCTATCAAGTGAAGGTTTCCTCTCCCTTTCCAAGGTGTGTCATTTGTCCACAAGTAATTTATAGACATGCATTTTTTTTATTTATACCTCTTAGTAGAAATATAGCAGTGGATTAAGGTAAAAGTAAATAAATAAAAATCATTGATATTGAGGAGGTTATCTGGTTTAGTCACTTACATCCGGGTGCTGGAACTCTAAATCATGTAAGGCAGAGACTGATTGGTTCTGTCTTTTTCTTTTTTTTGAGACAGAGTCTCACTTTGTTGCCCTCTGGAGAGTTCTGTGGCATCATGGCTCACAGCAATCTCAAACTCTTGGGCTCACCTGATTCCCTTGTCTCAGCCACCCGAGTAGCTGGGAATACAGGCACCTGCCACAACGCCCAGCTATTTTTAGAGACCAGGTCTCCCTCTGGCTCAGGCTGGTCTCGAACCTGTGAGCTCAGGCAATCCACCTGCCTCAGCCTCCCAGAGTGCTGGGATGACAGGTGTGAGCCACCTCTCCTGGCCTGGTTCTATTTTCTTTTAATGTTCTTCTGGTGAGCTTTAAATTCAAAAGAAACTATGCTGCTAGGTAATTTGTTTTCAATGAATGATAAATAGGATCCTTTGTGGTATTGCACAAAGGGTTTGGTTTTGTTTTTCTCTGACAGTGCAACTAATTTCTTACAGCAAGAGGGAAAGTTCATAAAGGAGATCTGATGCATCATTGGATGTCTTTAAGTCACTGCTTTTTTTTGTTGACTCCAAATTTACTATTATAGCTAGAATAAAACTGTTTTGTTCAAATTTTTCTCTGAACTGTGAATGGTGGTTGTCTCTATTTTCTTGTTATATTTCTCATAGAACATGGATATCTAATGCAAAAACCTATTGAGAAGCTGGTATCTTGATTTGAGTGTAGATTATGATTTTTATTATCCTACTTAATTTTTAAGGGTAAGGATTTTTTCTTTTCTTTTCTTTTCTTTTTTTTTTTGAGACAGAGTTTCACTATGTTGCCCTAGGTAGAATGCTATGGTGTCACAGCTCACTGCAACCTCCAACTCTTGGGCTTAAGTGATTCTCTTGCCTTAGCCTCCCAAGTAACTGGGACTACAGGCGCCCACCACAATGCCTGGCCATTTTTTTGTTGCACGTGTCATTGTTGTTTAGGAGGCTTGGGCTGGGTTTGAACCCACCAGCCTTGCTGTATGTGGCTGGTGCCGTAACCACTGTGCTATAGGTGCTGCGCAAAGGGCAAGGATTTTTGAGGGTTGTTGCTGGGGGTCAGTTTGGAGATCTGAAAATATGGTAGTGCAGTAGTTTTGAATTTTAAATGCCAGATATATCTAACTTTAAAATTTATACTCTTCCTGAAGAATGTGTATGTATTGACGGCTCCTTACTTTGCCATTTTTCTTCTTGCTGTTTTAAAAAAAGATGGGTGCAAATGTGTTTGGAAATTAGACTAAATACTTGATGTAGTAGTACAAGATGTTTGACCAGGAAAGAAAGATGTTGCCATCCTTTCTTGTATTCATGCAGCCATTCTAAGCAGGAGGATATGTGGCACAAAGCATATAAAGAAAAAAGAGGGTCAAAAAGAGCTAATTGGCTGAATACCAGTTATACTTGCAGCTCTGTAAGGTTTTCTGATTGATTATGCACGTGGTTGAGCTGGATAGTAATTGGAATTTCTTCCAATTTTTTTCTTTTTCAGACAGCACTTTTAAACATTGTATTAAGAGATTCATTTGCAGCTCCTGAAAAAGATATTTTCCTAGCTTTGTTAAACTGGTGTAAACACAATTCAAAGGAGAATCATGCTGAAATCATGCAGGCTGTGCGTTTACCTCTGATGAGCCTCACTGAACTTCTGAATGTTGTGAGGCCTTCTGGACTCCTGTCTCCTGATGCCATTCTGGATGCTATTAAAGTACGATCAGAGAGCCGGGATATGGACCTCAATTATAGAGGCATGCTCAGTAAGTATCTATTTATCCTAAACACAACTGAGAAATTTTGTTTACATCTTATGCCATTCTCAACTACAAATCTCTAGCTACAAAACTATAGTGCAGGTACATATGATGCATTCTTGAGTCATTACAAAAGTTTAAAAATCAAGAAACATAAAATCTATGCACATGGAAACAAATGAAGCCCTCCCAGCAACACTGATAAGCTGAGCAAGTTGAAATTTGCATGGATGAATCAGAAGGACGCTGTTGACTGTATTTTTTAAAAGTGAAATAATGGACTATGCATAACACAGTCTGTCTTGAAACTTTTATAGTGACCCAGGTATAGATCTATAAACATACAGCTCTGCTTCCTGTGGAATGTCTTTCTCTTGTCATTTTCCTGTTAATTCTGTCTGAGATCGCATAGCCCTTTGTAGAGCTCAAAATACATAGTTTTTGCTATTCGAATGGACAGATTTCTTCAGCTGCTCCTCAGAATGTCAGAAGGAAACACTTTCCTGAAAAGCTTCTGCTCACACTAAGCTCTTTCCTCCTTTTCTCCATCAAATAAGTACTGACAATGTGCTGTTTTTATTCTTACAGTTACCATGAGCATGGAGATTCTAAATAACAATAATAATTGCTACCACTTATGTATTATACATACATAGTATAGCTAACACTTAATGTGAAATTTCCAACACTTATCATGTAATGTGAGTTTTCTTATTAATTAAAATAATACCAATTTTAAAGAGCTTACTGTATATCAAGAACAGGTCCTCCTACATGACTATTTAATTCTCACAACAGCCCTTTGTAGTAGGTTCTGTTATTGACTCCATTGTACAAGTGAGGAAATGGAAGCACAGAGAGGTTAGGTAAATTTCCCCAGAAAGACAGAACTGAGAGGCAAATCTATGAATTTTGGCTCTAGAGGATGTATAATTAGCCACTAAACTGTGCTGTATAAATGTAAAAGATAGTCTCCACTTTTGATCCTTTTAATTTCATTGCTTTATGATCATTGATTTATGATTGAAATAAATCATAACTTCCTTGAAAAGTTAAATACAACAGTATCAAATGGTACATGTTATTGAACTTCAGAATAGATAATGACTTGGAATGATGAGAGGTTTCGTGGAGGTTGTGAAACTTGAGTTGATCCTCTACATTTGATTTGGATGGCATCAGGGTTAGCATCAGGTTTGGGTGAATTCGACATGGGAGATTGGTGAGGTTAATAGAGAGAGGTTAGAGCATTTGAAGGACACTGAATAGAAAAGCTTGACTAGAGTAGAAGGCTTACATTAATTAATAACAAAGAGAGTTTGTGAAGGTCATCTCAGGCCAAATTATAGAAATCTTTGGAACTGGATTATATGTGATTATATGGAACTCCTTTATATGTAGTGAGGAGCCAGCTTAAGAGAGCAAGCGTGGCATGCCTACAGTGATGGTTTTGAAAGATTGATCCATTATGGTATGCTTGAGGATTTGGAATAGGGAAAAACTATTCAGGGAGACCACTGAGCCAAGAGCTCAAGGAAGAGATTACATTATGTTTGGGATTCTTTTATCTAACTTCTAAACTTGAGTAATGGTTAAATAGCAATCTGCTTTTCCTACCTTTTATAGTAAAATCAGTTATATAAATATTGAGGAAGCATAGCACTTTCCTATCAGATCCTTAAAAAACAGATTATTTTCTAAATAAATGTTGTCTAAACATTCATATCATTATTTTCTTTAATCAAATTCCTCACTGTTAAAAGAAAAGGATCTAAAATTTCAGAGCTGGGTGGTGCCTGTGGCTCAGTGAGTAGAGTGGACATAAAAGTAGCACTGTACTAAAAGGATTATTATAAGTAATAAATCAGAGGCATTAATATATGCAAAATGCTTAGAATGTGTCTAGACCAGGTGCAGCCAACCTTTTTTTTCCTCTCTGCCACATATTGGAAGAAAAAAGAGTTGTCTTAGGCCACACATTAAATAAACACTAAGCAAAGCTGATTAGCAAAAAAAAAAAAAAAGAAAGGCCCATGTATACTTTTCATGTTATCTGACACCACAGATAAGCAAAAAAAGTCCTAAAAAAATGAACATGCAGCCCTGGGGTGCATGTTAGACACCCCTAGTCTAGACTCTAGCACATAGTATGCATTATATGAGATTTGTTAAATAAAGAGGAAGAATATAGGTGATTATCGCAGGCTAATAGAACTTAGAAAATTGTAAGTCTATAGCGTTTAAACTTCTGGCGGTAAGAAGTTGAGTGTGACTGGGATTGTTTTGTTTTTGGTGAGTTGCCCCCAGTCTTTTGCTAGTTAACTAAACCGACTAAACCCACCCCAGCTTCTGTTTTTTTTTTTGTTGTTGTTGCAGTTTTTGGCCGGGGCAGTGTTTGAACCCACCACCTCCGGCATATGGGGCTGGCGTTCTAACCCTTGAGCCACAGGCACCTCCCCCCAGCTTCTGTTTTTCGGCAGCATTTATTGTCCTCTTCTGAAGCCACTCTCTTTACTGTAATGATAAATTACTTACCATCTTTTTCCTTAAGAGCCTGACAATGGCTCACACAGCCAGAGTGTATGTTTTCTGTGAGAATCCAGAATTTATAGTTTGTAAACTTTTATGGTTCTTTTAGCATTGTGTACTTTTTAATGTATGTTTTGTAATAGTAATGGCTATGTATTTTTAGAACTTACTGTGTGCTTTACAGACGTCATCTCATTTAATCCTTAAACAAACAAACAGAAACATCTGGGGGATAGATAAGGCCCTATTGAGGAACTGAAGTTTAGAGAGGGTAACTTCTCCAAAGTGATACACCTGGTGAAACGTGGAGCCACTGTTTACCAGGTGTCAAAAACTACAGCCCCAGGCCACATGCAGCCTGCCTAGGACTTTTATCCAGCCTGCCAGGTGTTTTTGCCACCACTGCCTGTCCTGTTTAGCAGCTGACTCATCCTGGGGTCCCGCAGTCCGGCCCTCCAAAGATCTGAGGGACAGTGAACTGGCCCCCTGTTTAAAAAGTTTGAGGACCCCTGGTTTAAACTCTGAGTATGCAAACCCTTAACATTATTCAGCCTCTTGTCTCTTCATGGTGAGCGTGTTTTAGAGAGTTAGTACCTGGAGGACAGGTTTCAGATTGGTGAAGCAGAGTTTACATAGAGGCCTTCCTAGGCACAGTTGGGAAGGGGGTTTAATAATAACCATAATACTGATTTTGACGATAGACCGAATTTTCATTTTAAAAAATTCTCAAGTGAAATAAAAATAGATCTTGTTTTTTAGATGTATTTGTTCAGTAGTCTGTGTATAACTAACAGCTGTGCTATATTGGAACCTTTCTTTTTCTGTTGTTTATCAGACATCTGACCTGCTTCCTTTGTTTTTGTACATTGTCCTCAGTCCACATGGCAGGTAACAGGTCATCATGCTATTTTTGTTCAGTAAATATTAGATTAAAGTAATTCATAGAATGAACTCAGAGCTAATTTTTTTGTCCTTTTTTAGTGTTAACTTTTTAAAAAATAACATTAGTCCTAGGTACTTTTGTGACTATGATAGTGACATTAAGTGTAAACTCTCAGTGGTGTCTTAATCCTCAGAGATTCTGTATCATTTGTCCTCATAAACTGGACTATGCCATTTTTTAATTAAATGCAAATACTGGAATCAACTAGAACTAGAATTTATTTTTTTCTCAGAAATGTAGAATAATTTGGCAAGTAACCATTCACCGTGCTTTTTCTACTTTTACTTATAGTACCAGAAGAAAATATTGCAACTATGAAGTATGGAGCCCAGGTTGTAAAAGGAGAGCTGAAGTCTGCCTTATTAGATGGTGATACTCAAAATTATGATTTGGATCATGGATTTTCCAGGCACCCAATTGATGATGACTGCCGTTCAGGCATTGAAATCAAGCTAGGTCAGCCATCCATTATCAATCACATACGGTTACTCCTCTGGGACCGGGATAGCCGGTGAGTCACTTGCAGATTTTGGTGGTTTAATTGTTTATGATCATGCTGCTATTTCTCTTGAATGTTGATTCTGGGTAAAGAGTTAAAGGACGTATTTCTTTAAAATAAATATATTTTTTCCCTGCTAATACAGAAAAAGTAACAAATATGTGTTTATTGTAGAAAATGTAGAAAATATAGAAAAGCACATAGAAGAAATTAAAAATCGCTGATACCTCACTACCCATTATTAATTTTTTTATATATCTGATTAGCAATTTGATTTTTGCTTATTATCTATAGACATACACAAAACAGAAACCTATACAAACATACTTACATAAAATAAAGATTAGATGTACAAAAGCTTCCTTTCTTTTTTTTTTTTGCAGTTTTTGGCCAGGGCTGGGTTTGAACCCACCACCTCCGGCATGTGGGGCCAGCGCCCTACTCCTTTGAGCCACAGGTGCTGCCCAGATGTACAAAAGCTAACTTCATTTTATAATTTATGTATTGTGAACATTCTACCTTTTAAAAAATATTCCTCTAAAATGTTATTTTTAATAGCCATCTGGTATTCCACCATGTGGATTAACATTACTTATTTACTTTACTTTTGGATATTATAACTTTTTTTTTCTTTTCTTGAGGTGAGTCTCCTCTGTTGCATAGTCTGGAGTACAGTGGCATAGTCATAGCTCATTGTAACCTTGAACTGCTGGGCTCAAGGGATCCTCCAGCTTTAGCCTCCAAATATCTGAGATTACAGGTGTGGGCCACCATGACCAGCTTTTTTGTTTTGTTTTTAAAGAAATGGGTTTTTACTGTGTTGCTCAGGATGGTCTTGAACTCTTGGCTTCAAATGGCCCTCCTGCCTTGGCCTCCCAAGCCATTGAGATTATAGGAATTAACCTCTGTGCCCAGATATTATAACTTTTTAAAAGCATTTTATCCTATGAGTGAAGAGAGTAATTGTCATCTTGTATGTTGATAACCATCATCCTCAAAACAAAACAAAAAGAAAATTGTGAAAAGATTTGCTGCGTTTTAGCCTGGGAACCCACTCAGTTTCTGAGTGGCTTTAGGGTGCTGTCTTCCTTCTAGCGACTGTGATGCTTTCACCCACTGTGGTTTCCAGGGCCATCCGTGATGGCAGGAGTATCAGAGCAGTATGTGTGACCAAGAAATGAACTGTTCTAAAAGCTGTATCTATTTCATTCATTTAATTGATAATGAAATTAGTATAAAATAATAAAAGGTTAATCTGTTTGAACTGAAAGTAGTTATCATTTCTAGGATGTTAAATATTTATAGTCTACTTTGTTTTAGTGTGTACATCACATTCGCAGGGGACTTAACTTTACCGTGTAACTGTTCTTTTTTCATAGAAATTGTTATCATTCTAAGCAAAGGTGAAAAATTCAGAATCTTAAGCCAAAAAGATTCTGACATGTTGTAAAATTATATCCTACGTTACTGATAACCTAGAGAGGTTCAATAAAAGGTTATAACCAGTTTGAGACTGAGTGATAAAATGAATGGGAGTGAGGGGACAGCAGAAAATGAGGGGCTGACACAAAATAAGCTGACCTTTTCTGGTCTCACTGAGGGTTCCAGGCTGACATTTATGGTCACCTAAATCTCCCAAGATTGTTCCTGTTGATATTATAGTACAAGTAATAACTGCATCTCAAATTTAAATTTGGTTCATGACAGGGGAATATAGATTTGTTGAGTATGGGACCAGCATGAAATGGTCTAGGGTAGCTGACTAGAGGTAGAAGATAGGCTGTTTTCATTATTGCTAGATTATTAGGTGACAAGTTTTAAATTGTACCCCAAAGAAGCATGCATTATCTCTTCACTCATGTCATTTTTTTTTTTTTTCAGACTGCTTACATGTATGGGACAGAGAGAGACTGTGGGATTCTGTGGGGGTTCTGTAGAGAACCATTCCAAGGTGGCTTTCCTCCTGAGAGGGGAGGCTGAGCACTTTGCTAGAGAGGAGAGAAGGAGAAAGCATGCCTCCTGCTTCCCAATTTTCTTTTCTTTTTCTTTCTTGTGGCTTTATTAATCTGCTAATATGATGGGGGAAAGCTGTTCTGGCCATGTTTAAAAAGGAGCCAGTGCTTTGAATGCCTGATATATGCCAAGCACCCTGGGTATATGAAGATTACTATGGTATAGTCCTTGTTCTTGAGCAGTTTATTATTTGGTAAGGCAAAACACAAGCTGAGAGATAATTTCAGGGCATTGTGGGTGAATGCTACAACAGAGAGATGTATACAGCTTTCATTGTTGATGATGCAGAAAATATAATTAGTGAGTTATTCATAGTATTTTTCTATGCCTTTTAATATATTTTTTAAATATAGTTTTGGATTGTTATTTTAATATGGTGGGGTTTTTTTTCCTTTTGATTCACAGGTCTTACTCATACTTCATTGAAGTATCAATGGATGAACTGGATTGGATCAGAGTGATAGATCATTCTCAGTATCTGTGTCGTTCTTGGCAAAAATTATATTTTCCAGCCCGTGTCTGCAGGTTAGTTCTTGTGGTTAAGATGATTTTGATTTGTATTACTATATAGGAAGATTTGGATTTTGGGAAGCAGACTGTGTCTTTTATCTCATGCAAGAAGAGTTTTTCAGGTTGTCAAACTACCAAACACATCCAAAGTAAAAAACTTAGGGCAAATATGGACAATTACATGTCTTAATATTTAGAGCTTCTTGTGGAACTATTTATCCAAAATGTTTTATACCGTATATTTGTAATAGAAATGTGAATGAATAAGAAAGGACACTTGAGAAGTAGAAATGCTTTTAAAACTCCATGCTATACATTGAAAGCAGAATTATTGTTAGAAGGTATGTTCTTCCCATGAAATCCACAAAAGATGTGCCTGGAGGTTTTCCTGGCAATGCTCAGGGCCAGGGGAGGATTTTTGGATTCCAGTGTGCATGTTTTTCTCTAGGACAGTGCTTATCAAATGAGGTTTGACAGAATAGATGTTTCATGTGGAGTTGAGTTTGGGGTGAAGGAGGCTCCAGCCTCACACTCTCCCTCAACCAGAGCTCTTCTGCTATTATTGTTATGTATTGTAACCTCAGGTAAGATTTTTTTAAAGAAGTATCAAAAAGCTATTCCAATACTTCATGGTCTCCCTTTAGGTATAAGCCATCATTTAAACTTTTTAATGAAATTCAATAAAACATATAAATTGATAAATTTGGGAGTTGAGAACAGTGGTTAAAACCCCTGAAATTCTGTTTTTGTCCCTTGAAGTCAAAAGATCAAAGACAGAAAGTGATTGGTTCATTTATTCAGGTATGGAAGGAAGAGAAAGGACAGGATATGGTGGGTGTAAGCCACTTCCCTCCCCCACTCACCTGTGCTCCTCCTGACCACACAACTGTGGCTGATTTGGAGCAGGTAGGGGTGCCCACAGCACTTACTCTCTTTTTTCAGAAGTCCACCTAAATATTTGCGAAACTCATGATTTAACAGCATAAGGCTGATCCACTAGGATCTCCACAAAACCTTTTAGCCTCTGGCACAGTAAAGAATGTCTGCATTTTTTTTTATTATTATTATGGATATCAATGGACATAATGTTGTTACCCAGGGATCCTCTTGTGTGAAAATGAAGAGAATCAATTTCATTTTCCCATAGAGGAACTAAAGTGTCTCAGGTCTGCTGGTTGCTTTTTTATCAGAGGAGTTCTGAATGGATTAAAATGAGAGAGACAAGAAATTGAGTGAAGATTTCATATCTCAGAGCTGCCTAGGGATACTCTGAGAGTGACAGAGGGGCCCCCACACGGAGGAGGAGATGGAGTCTGTATTGACTCAGGTTGTTACTGTTGTATCTGATTAAAAAACGGCAGCGTAGCAATCATAGCATCTGATGTGGACGGAAGGACTTATGTTTGCATTTAATTTGAAACAATAGGAACATGACTACTAGAACAAATCATCATGAATATAATATCAGCTGTGATAGTCTTTGTGCTTTACTCACCTGAAAGCTTCTGTTGTCTGTATGGAGGGAAATAAGTGCCTTCAGCCATGATCTCTGACTTCTAGAAAATATACTTCCCTTTTATTTATTTTGTTGATCCTGTCTGGCCTTGACTTTGGTATAGTTTTTTTGTGTTTCGAGTCTGGCTGTATTCACAATGTTAGTTATTGTGTTGGTGGAAGCACCTTCCAACTCTGACTGAGAAAAACTGAGCAAAAGTGGTATTAAAGGGAAGGAATCTTGATATACAGGTTAGAAAATTTAAAAAAAATATGACCACTTTAACTTATTATATTAATTGCTACATTCCTTCATAAACTACCTTTTATACTTGGTTAGAATTGTGATAGTATTTAAAAATGAACATAAGAATAAGTATTAATTGGTTATTTAAGGATGTCTTGGTGTTTATCGTCACATTTATTGACTACCTAAGTAGTGTTCTGAATACACTTCTTCCAGGAACTTTACTGGGCAAACACATTTTTTATTTTCTTAGCATGTAAGTGTTCAATTTGCGTTATGTTGATGTGCTCATTTGTATGTCACCTTTGTTCTTTACTGTCCTTTGTGTGTTTGTCTGGCCTACCATACTAAAATTATAAGCTTTTTGAGCAAGCATTATAGATTCTAGTCTTTTAGTATTCTTTTTTTTTTTTTTTGAGACAGAGTCTTTCTTCATAGCTCACTAAATCCTCAAGCTCCTGGACTTGAGTAACCCTACTTCAGCCCCCAGGGTAGCTGAGACTATGGGTGTATGTCACAATGCTTGGCTAGTTTTTTTATTTTTTGTAGAGATGGGGTCTTGCTCTTGTTCAGGCTGGCCTCAAACTCCTGGCCTCCAGCGCTTCTCCTGTCTTAGCCTCCCCATGTGCTAGGATTATAGGAGTGAGCCACTGTCCCTGCCTAATCTTTTGGTGTTCTTACAGAGTACTCAGACTATGACTTTGTATGTAGTAGGTATTCTATAAATATTAGCATGTGTGTTGTGGTATCAAGGCACAGACTGTATTACTGATTTAGTGTTAATGTGCACATATATTCACTCTCTGCAGCAGTAAATGGTTCTGAACTGTTTGCAAAGGTTACCATATTTTTCTGTGTATAATGCATACTTCTTTGCCCCAATTTTAAAGGGAAAAATAAGGATGTGCATTTTACATGAGTGGTACTAATTTTGTATCTCTAAAATGTTTTTAGTTTTTATGCATTAAAAATGTGTTTCTAGAAAGCAATAACGATGTCTGTATACAAAATAATGCCCTGGGATGTGTATTATTTTGGGCAAGCACTGCAACTGCCAGAGCCTCGAGCCTACCTGAGTGATTGTGCTGGACACCGCCATCTTGAAAGCGGGCACAACAGTGATGAGTGAGCGTCAGGAACTTGGTTAGAGGAGGGCGGAAGTTGCTGTACAGTGGCGCCTCCTTTTCTTTTGAGAGGTGCAAAGCGTACAGCCCGCGAATGTGGAGGAGCTGGGAGTAAGTCCAGGTGGCCCGTGAGAATGGCCCGACACCTTGAGCGCCAGACTTCCCCGCTGTCTCCTCCGGGCCCACCCTAATGCCCACGCCCTCTCATTGACTATTCCCACCCATGCACATGCATCAGTGGGAATGTTGCTGCAGCCGCTCGGCAGAGAACCCTGGTGGGCTTATTTCCTGGGAAGCTGGTGTTAGGGTCCAGGGCCGGCCCCGTCTGCCCTGGACTCCTGATGGTAGATCCTTGCCCTTTCCAGGCTGGCTTGTCTCTAGCACAGATAGCTGCATTCTGAGGCCCCAGGGAGCCCGTGAGGAGGAGGAAGCATTCCCTGGTGATACCCCCATGAAGCATTTACTTTTATCTTTGGTGACTACCCATGAACTCCTTGAGCCACCCAGATCTTGGGCACTGAGTAACATCAGAATGAATGACACCAGCCTTTCCCAAACTTCCAAATCTTAGAGATCACGTGGATAACTGATTAAGATGAGATTCCTAAGCCACACCCAAATAAGTGGGTTATTATAAAAGTTTTGAAATACACAAAAATCAACAAACATAAAATCCATATGAACAGAAATAAATGAAGCCTTTCTAGCAACACCCATAAGTAGAGCAAGCTGAAACTCACATGGGTGGATTAGAAAGGACTGTATTTCTTGGAAGTGAAATAATGGACCATAGCATGGTCTGCATTAAAACTTTCATAGTGACCCATAGTGACTGGTCAGCCAGTCAGCTCTTCAGGAGAAAGATCAGGATGTCTGTTCTTTTAACAAGTATCCTAAATGGTTCTTCCTACTGGCAAGTTTGGGAAATTATAACCAACTCAACACCTTGGGGATTCGGACAAATCATAGGTTAAAAATTACAACCTGTGGGCTCAGGTACTCCCAAGCTTTTGTGCTTCGCTGTCAGATACCTTCACAGGCATAAACATCATGGAGACTGAGGCCCAAGGTCACAACAGCAGGCTACTAGTAGAACCAGGTCTCTGAGCCCAGGTCTCCCAGACCCCAGTCAGACATCTTCCTCATCAGTGAGGTGTCCAAGGGGCCTCAGAATGGGGCCAGTTGCATGAGAAATGAGGCATCAGAAAGGTTGGGGATCAACCATCAGGAATCTGGGCAGGTAGGCCATCCCTGACCCCTTACACCAGCTTCCTGGCAAATGAGCCCACCAAAGTTCTCAGTCGAGTGGTCATGGCCACATTTCCACTGACAGACATAGGTGGGAATCAAAATGAGAGGATGTGGGGATTAGGGTGTGCTGGGAAGGGACAGATGGGGGAAATTGGGCACTCAGGTCACCCTGGACTACTCTTCACCTGTCCCTGGGCTCACTCCTGTCTTCTCCTGCAGCAGTTGGCTCCATGGCTAGCTCCTCTCAGAAGAGAAGGAGGTGCCACTCTGTGTCCACTTCTGCCTCCCTTTAAAAAATTAAAATGAAAGATTTTTTTTTCCTGAAAGTTTGGGCCAAAAACATGGGAGTGCATTATACACAGCAAAATGTAGTACATTTTTGTTTTCCTTTCAGGAAACTGAATTTTGATATTAATCCTGAGGGATATGAGTGTCATGTATTGATGAAAGGTTATATCCAATACAGTCACAAAAGGAGAGATACCCTGTTTAGGCTAACTCGCATATAAAACAGCATTGGATAGTAGAGAAATTAGGGGCTATGGAGTGATTAGATAGAGCTCTTCTCAAATCCTGGTTTCTCCTTATACTTGTGCTGTGATAAAATTGTGCCTCCTTGAGCCCTGTTATCTAAACTCATAAAGAACAGGAATAAGTCACCCTCTTCCTGGGGTGTTGACAAGTACTGAGCACAATGCCTAGCTGAAAGTAGAGGCTTAGTGAGTAGCAGTTATTTATATTATTTTTTCCTAATTTTGAAGACTCTGAACAGGTATACGATCTTTAGGGAAAGAGAGTTATCCCTGCCATCTCCTTAGGCTATAGTGCTATGAGGACACTATTTCTTAGGGCAGAAGCCTAATATTGTTACTTTTCCACACTGTGAGTTCATACATAGCAATAAAAAATGTACTTACATAGTATTTTTTTTTTTAATCTTAACAGCCTGCCTATTTTAGTGTGTTTCTAGCAGTTTTTATATATTTTGATTTTGGTAAAACATTTTTTATTTTAGTAAAACATATATAACATAAAATTTGCCATTCATTTACTTGTGGAATGAAATTCAGTCCACATTTACCAGGCCAAGATAGTGTATCACATCCAGTGACTCCAAGGATAACTTTAGGCTTCAAAGCCAGAGTAATTGTAATGGTAATTGATTCATCCATAATAAAGGGAAATGATCTGCTCTTTCTGGACTCTTTTTAGGAATGCTTGTGGGTTATGTGGGGGCTGTTTTATGTAACCAAAAGTTTAGACCAATCACCTCTCTCCTCCCTTAACTAGGGATGAAGAAAAGTGACTCATCAATTTGTATCTAATCCTTCTTATGTCCTCAGAACCATGCTATGTCTTGTAACTTCTCTTTTTCAGGAAAGGCAATTTCTTCTTCATCCATAACCTACAACCC